GTTATAAAAATAGGAAAGGAAACAAAGCCTGGCCATAACGAGTATCGTATTAGCACGATTCTTGCAACAGCTCTTATATCAATTTTATGTACTAGAATTCCTAGTTTTTCCATGAGTGAAAATTATCTTCCCCGTTAGTTCCCTCTATTAAGATATTCTTGATATCAACAATGGCTTTTTTTGGTTATAAAAATAGGAAAGCACCAGAAAAGTTGAGCTCCATATTTGGTTGTCCACAGATGTAATACAGCTTTTTGTTTTAAGTACCAAGATGCAAAATATCTTAAAACTTCAGACTCACAGGGGAGAGAAGATGTGATTAAAAATCAATTGAACACAGGGTCCTGGTTTCAGATCAGTGTATGCATATAAATGTCAAAATTACCAAAGCAAAGAAGTCGCATTTTTGAACAAATACTTATCCTAGTACTTAATTGAACCAATACCAATACCAATACCAAAACCACTTCATTGTACAAGTCTACAAGAAAATAAGAAGCGGGTAGAAGATGGTTCTCACCTCAATAAATGCTGGGCCAAAAATATCAGGGTCAGTATGAGGGACATGTATCTTTAATAATTGATGGTCTAAACTGTTGCTGTTCCCTTCATTCTCGCAAGAAATCGATGAAACGCTAATATCATATGCCAGGTACCGGCCAGCAAAGGATACAAGAAACCTGACATGGGATGAAAAATTTACATAATACATTCCAGAAAGAAGATTGAGCTAAATGCTTATTCTAAGAAATGATAGTAGAACGATTAGGATTAAGAAAACTGTACGCAGTTAAATTTGTTTTCGAACAAAGTACAAAACTCAATAAACAATAACTGCTGTCAATCAACCACTTAAACTATGAAACAAACAATCATTTTCCTTGTCAAAATCTAGTCATAGTTATGCATAGAAAATTTGAAATATATTCATTTCTGATTGTTTTCACCATTAGCTTTCCCAATCAAGAGTTGAAGCATGGATATCTCAAAATATAGCACAAGACTGAGAGGCCTAACCATGACAACTTGAAAAATCTTACACCCCTTTTGGTACTTTGGTCCATCTACACCATCTTTTCCATGGTTTCTTATCATTTCTCAAGACTCAGCCAAATACAGTATCCAAATACAGTATATCTAGGTCATCTTGTCATTTCAGCTATTACAACATCTGATGCATATAATGCACGCCTTGCTATTGCAAAGAACCAAATATCACATTATCTCCACATATCAGTCCACTATTTTCTTTGTTTTCTAGTTTTGGTTATAATGCAACAAGTAGCATGTGTATCCTTTTCCTCTCCAACAAAATTATTCTAAAACTGCCTCATCAACCACATAAAACAACCTCCCACTTTACCAATTCACCGTACCCATTACCACCACTTCCCCCACTCCCCTTTCCCTTTTACTCTCTCTCCCTCTCCTCTCCCTTCCACTTCAAGGTCCACAATTTAAATCCAAACAGTACTAGTGTTTAATTGTGTAGAAAAAGAGAATTAACAATGAGAAGTAAAGAACTTGATGTCAAAAATATTCTGACCACAAAGAATTAAGAAAGAAAATATCAGGTAGTGACAACTTTCAGAAAGCAACTTTGTCAGTTGAATTGGTAGAGGCCTTACTATCATACCGAAATTTTGGTTGAAGTAGATTACTTCCACAGGCAATGAATTCTAAAGGCTTGCCAGCCTCAAAGCATGTTGGATGAATATAATGAATCTTTGGAGCTTGTCCCTTGACCTTGACTTTCACTACAGAAGCACCATCTGTTGTCACATAGAATCTAGCACTGTTAAAAAGCTGTCATAAGTCCCTATTAACAACAAAGAGAGAATTTTTAATAGAAATCAACTATGAACTTTTTCCTTGCTACCTACCTACCACCATAGCTATAAAAATGGAAAAATAGAATACGGTTCAAATTATTATTTTGCTTTTATGAGAGGAACTTTCATCAGTTTTTCCTAATTCATTTTAGAAACTAAAAAAATTCCTCATTATTCCTTCTTCATTACCAAATTAACCAATTATTAACTTTTGCATGAGATGATTGCGGGTTGTGAAGTCTTTATGGCAGCAATAGTGAGTGAAGAAAGTATTAAATCTTCTACAATTGATTTTTGTGTTATTCCATAAGCAATCCAAGGCTACAAGCATTGAAGTGTGACTATGACCATCAAAATACAAACTGAAGAATCTACCGCTAGTTCACTAAAATAAGCTTACATTCTGAACACGAAAAGAAACAGACCAGTGGAACATTAAAGTAACATAAAGTAGAACTAATAAGAAAATACCCTTAGAAGACGAAGGAAAAGAAAAAGTCCGTGATGGAAAATTGAAACTCTGACAACATAGACATGCATATCTACAATGCTATTTATGTGAGATTGCCAGCAAACCTTTTGAGACACGAAATATCATGTCATTAAGATACACAAGCATCGTGCCTCTTCCAGATAACATGTTTCCAGGTGAGACAACAAGGTCTTGTATACGTACAGCAGACTCCTCCAATAACTGTGTAATGAGACGATATTGTATAATGAGAACATAGAGAATTTATTAGAAATTTTGCTGGAGATTGCAGCAAAAATGTTAAATCTGCCTCAGACACAAAGTATGTCACATGCAAAAGCAAAATATATATTATGGTAATTGTAATGGATTGATTCAATTAAATTTTCAAGTTATACCTTCAGCTCTAATGAGCCTACCATTAAATATGTAAAATAGCCATTTAGTTATTAATTGTTATTAATGATCAGCAAATTCTTGGCACAATTTTGTAGATTTACAATACAATAAATTATGGAGTTCAAGTGTTCAATAAATATTGGGTGACAAGGAAGACTATATACCTTAACCCACATAAGCTTTGGCATTGCAACAAAAGCAGTCAAAATTGTACAACCCGGACGGATATACCCTTCCAATTCAACGGGCATGCTAGTCAACCATTCAAATATCTGTAAAAACATTCACCCTCGTGTTAATCAAATACCACTATCTTTTACACAAATAACACATTTTCTTCCTTGTATACTAAACTGTATAAAAAAAGTTTGAATACTTGATGCCGAAGTCGCCGAGGAAACTCTGCAGGGTTCCAATCGTAGAGCTTGAAGGAGATTCGACCAGTAGGACACTGCAACAAAGCATCAAAACAGAGCAAATTTTTTAAGTCAGATTCCCAATGAAATAGAATCACATCATGTGAGACAGCAAATTGGCATTAAACCTACCAAAGAAGAGAAAACACTCTTGTTATCACGACAGGATGTGGAGTTCGTGTATTTTGGGTTCTCTTCATCCTCATCAGTGTTAGTTTCAACGAAGTCAGCAGATAATACACTTTTACTTGGAAATTTTGGGAACCAAGAGCCGATCATAGTGTTGATGCATGCCCTTCCGACTCTATCACAATTTCCCTTTCTGGCATTTGACTGCTCAAGTGTATCATATCTGTGACATCCAGATGTTGACAAGGGTGGTCAGCACCTCAATATTGTAAAATACTGCGAACACCAAAAAAAAAAAAAAGAAAAAGAAAAAGAAAAAAAGAAAAGAGCAATATGACAATTAGCAAAAAATTCCTTGTCGATAGTAGCTTTAACAAATGGTATTCTCAATGGATTCCACAAGTATCAAGCATTTACAAAATATTCCACTATTGCTGACATATGAACGCAAAGGTAATACAAGAGAGGAAGCCAGACACATTTTCGCAGAGATAAGAACATAGTCACAGACTCACAATGTCGATACAAGCCAACAGTACCTTTCCCAAGGTCATCATCGCCTCTGACATTATCAGCTAAGGTGACCTGTTGAGGTTCCGTCTCAAAACTGCCTTTAATATCATTGGGTTTCTTCGGCGTCTGTTATTGTGACGTTCTAATTTTCTCCGACAACTCCGTTTTCCCTCATCCAAATCTGACAAAATATGAAACCTGCCAAAGGTAATAGAAACTGTGCTTTATTGCCCACAATCTTTTTTCCTGAATTCAGTGGATGAAGCCCATTTAAAACTGTTCTTTGTTGCCCTTAAAATTTCTTTTTTATAAATACTAGGAGGAACCATCATCCTAACGAATTTTAAGATTTCAAATATATTTCCAAATACCTGACGTAAGCTCAACAAAAGTCTTGATGTTTTACAATTATTCTTTCCAATCTTTGGTGGCTACATTTAGCATCCATATCAATATGACTTATAAAAGTGGCAGTTACAAACATCAGTGTTGTGGTGTCTGAGCATTTACACACAACCATTTTCTACAAATTTCTTCATCAAGAACACTTCAAATTTCTACCATGACCCCAAAAATAATGCACCTCATTATCAGCAAAACCATACAATCTCAAGTCTCAAACCACCAAAATCATATCCTTAGTTGCTCCCATACTAATAAAGTAAATAATTCGCCGACTTTACCATCTTCTTCGTTTATAAAATTGTCTTCATATAAAAGATATATAATGAATTTCATTTTATTTTTTTAGTTTTTTATATATTTTTTTGCCTAATGGTGTTGACGTCTTTCAAAAACACCCCATATTCGAAATTTTCCTTAAAAAAAAAAGAAAAAGAAAGAAACACATAGTACTTAAACAATATAATTGGAATAGAAACAAAATCAATTAAACTAGCAAAAACAAGAAAATACTATGTTCGTACTTAAACCTCATGAAACACAAACTTGAGGTTTTCTAGACAACTATAAATACATAAAATCCGGAAAGTTGGTATTGTCCAATGCGGGGATCTCTTGATATCCACCAGGAACCGAATCGAAGAACTCGTTTATGTCCATCTCAGGAATTCCAGGGAGCTCTGCTGGATATAGTCCTTCTTTCACGTCTGCCATGTATCCAACTGGATATTGGCTGTAAACATAACCTCCGATCGAATGATTTGGTGGAACAATGGGAATGGGAACTGGATTACTGTATGTAACTACATTCTGATGTTGGAGAATGGAGAGAGTATTATGAACATCCGCGTTAGGGAGATTCTGATAATTATCGTTGATAAAGGGATCAGCCAATGCAATCTCGGATTTACAATAAGGCAAATTGTCTTCTGGTGCAACATGCATGGAGTCTTCACCAGCTCTACGTGTATTTTCTTGGTGACTTGCGACTTCATCGGTGTTATTATGATCTGGTTCTTGAATCTCATCATCTCTTTTTCGCTTTCTATTCTCGTTCTTTCTGATCCTACACAGAACCCAATCGTCCAACTACAAGAAACAATTCAAGCAAAGAGGGGAAAAATATTTGTAATGTCGACCAAAAAAAAAAGTGCAAAGAATTTAGTTAGATAGATAGAAAGATTTACCTTCATGTCATCTGCACTTGATTTTTGCACCGGTGGCGGATTATTCACTGTATATTCATGCATAATCCAAGAGGTCTTAACTGGAGGTTTTCCTTCATAGTATACCAAAGTCTTTCGAGATCCAACATCTACACCATTGTGTTTGACTTCAATGTCAGCTCCTGATGCTTTCCAGTAGCCATCACCTGCTGTTCGATTTGGTCGTTTTCCATTTTTGTATTTTTTACTCCTCGGTGTAAAAAAGAACCACTCGTTCTCTCCACTTGACCTGTATTCATCTGCGAATCAAATAACATGAAATAATATCATCGTTAGAAATAAAGTTCCTTCTTAAACGTAAAACTCGAGTACAATAGATGAATTTACCAGCAAGTATTTCAGGGTTGAACTCGTATAGATTAACGACATTAATCTTATTGCGAGGCAGCTCTTCGTTCTCGATCTTTTTCATCAAGTAATGAACAATAAGTTCATCATGAGTAGGCTTAAAACGAAAACCAGCAGGCAAACTCCTGAAGTATTCATCATCGCTAAGTTGATTATCCATTATAGAACTCACGAACTTCAACAATTCTACTCTTACGTAAAAAAATAGAATTTGGAGTTTGTTACGGTACTTATATAGAGCTTGTTTTTACTTTTTATTATTGTTATTTTTTTTTTTTTTAATGAATAACGTGTGTTGTAGTTTAATTGAACTTCTCTCTTTCTTAGATATGTAATCTTAATTTTATCATATATGAATTTTACCTGATGGACTCCTGTGACCAATGAAATTCAAACACGTAAACATGTGTTTAAACTAAAACTCTAGATATCCCTGTTTGCTAATTTTTAATTACTTGGAGAATTTTTCTAAGTGACACGTGGAAAGGCCATTCTAACAAAGAGTTTGCTTTGCAAGTGCACGTGATGTCACCAGATGACTGTATATTGCACAAGAGCGACAGTTCTTGAATTATATAAACTCTCTTCTCACGCTTTTTCTTTTTCCTTTTTATTTGATTTTTATGTCCTTTTGGGTTGTGGGATTTCAAATATTAATCGGTGGCTATCGAGCGACAATTTTGATACCATACTGAAACCGAATTGTAATGTATTTGTAAGCACGCATTTTTTTAGAAGTGCGATCAATGTATTGTAAGCGCGCATTTCATATTCGATCTTTAGTCCTTTTAGGTTGTGAAATGTATTATAGACTTAACATGAGTATTTTCTGCTAGATTTAGACTTAGCTCATGTTTGATTTAGATTAAAATTTAATTAAAATTTCAAGTCAAAGTCGACAATTAATTTTAACCACACATTTTATGAGATTCACAACTTTTCAACCACATATTTCATTAACTTTTATCAAAATATACTAAAAATCTGATTTTAATATGTACCAAACAGGAGCTTAAACTTTTATCCTTTTGAATTTCACATTGAACTAGTCAACGTTAAGCTAAATTATTAGAGATGAAAAGAATTTATTTATCAATGTCTTCAAAAAGTTTGATGCTCGCGAGTGCATTTCATATACTGTCAAAAACAAATTTATCTTAAATTCAAGACTTGCACAAAAAACAGTTACTTATTTTGACACTAATCAACAAAATAAACCATTTCTTAAATTACACATTCACTTTTAAGGAAATTTTTTAAGCCAACTTGCCGAACATGCAAGCAATATCCTCCATCGTAGAAATTAAGGCGGTAATGATAAAGCATGTCAGTAGGGGCGAATACAGGATTTGGAGTAAACATGGACGGCTGATCGATCGTTGGTCACAATAAAATATTTAAAATTAAATATAACAAGTTACTAAAATGAACATATATTTTCTGCTACACAAGTCTACCACATCAGGCGAGTGACATAGCGGGCAAGCGTCGTATGTTTCAAATTACAGTCAGGGGTTCGAATCCTTCTAAATGCATTAAGCCACTCAACTTGAACATACATTATTTTGTTAGATTTAGTGTTACAATATAATGAATGCATTGATGGTCAAGGCTTCAATAATTTTAGAGAGGGGTCACAGGTTCAATTTGAATCCCCACACTCACATTATTTTTAGTAAAAATTGTTGAATTAAAAAATTTGCACTATAAATTACTTTGAAGGAGATTCGAATTAAATTACTTTGAAGGAGATTCGAATTAGGGGTGAACATGGTTCGATTTGGACAGTTTGAGACAAATTTTCAAATCAAACCATTTAAAGCAGTTTGAAATTTTTCCCAAATCAAACCAAACTACTTCGATTTCTAAACCAAACCAATTCAAACCATTTTTTTGAGTTTGTTTTGGTTTAAAACTATGGCTTAACATAGAAAAAATTAATATATATTAAATAAGTTAAATCATAAATAATTAGTTTAAAATTTCATATTAAAAATATAAATCGTACTATTAAAAAATTACAAATCAAAATTAAATAATTATAATCATTATAATGCAACAAAATAATATAAATAATTTAAACTCTTAGTCGATACTAATGGTGTCAATTTGTAATTGTAATAGACGATTCATTCTTTTCGTAAATATAAAAATATAGCATATGAATTCATTTATTATAGTTAAATGATATAAAATAATTAATAAAAGAAATGAATAAAAAAATTCAAATACAATAATATCTAACTAATGTGACTTTTTATGAATCATCTAACACTTCTACTCCATCCAAATATTGAGAAATTATTTTAAGGAAGCTTGACATTTATTAGAACCAAACAACATAACTATTAATAAAAGCATAGAAAAAAATTACCAAAAAATAAAAGAATTTGGATCATCTGACTTCAATTAGGCAAATATTGAGAAAATTATTAGTATAAAGAAATGAAATGTGCAATTTTGAATTTGAGGGTTTTACGTTCACAGTTGTGATGACTGGTGGGTATTTGGATATGATTTAATTAATTAAATAAGATATATAATTGTCGAATTGAGTTTAATGGAATAAGGTCTAATATGGATGCATCTTTTTAACTGAAATGTGTTAGATTTTGATTGGATTAAATAAAATTTGGACTAATTTATTTTCAAAATTTTATTTTTAATTTTTTTGTAAACGGTTTGCAAGAATTGAAACCAAAACCGAACCACTTTGAAGTGGTTTGATTCGGTTCAAAACCAAAACGTTGACAGGTCCACGTGAAATCAAACCAAGGATTTCAGAGAAACGGTTTCGATTCGCTTTTGAGGCTTGACAGTTTTGTTGTTCAGCCCTAATTTGAACCCAGGACGTCCAATTTGGGTGTGAAAGTTTCAACCAACTGAGCCATAAGAAAAGTTTGTAAGGATAATGAATTATCATATATATAATATAAAACTTTTATCTATCATATAAAAGAGAGAGAGAGAGAGAGAGAGAGAGAATTGCTTCTGTGTTAGAACAATGCCGATGTTGGGCCAGCTCTAAAATGGGGCCTGCCGGACCAGCAGCAGCCAGTTGCAACTCTGGGTAGAGATATAAGTTAGGGTTTTGCTACATGTAAACGCCCGGTTACACGCCCCTCACATGGAGGGTAGGTCGCGCGCATTTATTGTGCACGGGCCCGGGTACAAATAGATTATCCCTATAAGTTATAGTTCTTGTCCTGAGCTATACTTCAAAAAGAGAAAAGTCTTACCACAAAATAAAAATGTAGTCGATAAATATAACAAAAATCTCTCCTTCAGCTCAATATCATAGAACAGGACAGAAATTTAATATGCTATATTGTGTTTAGATTCAAGTCTAGCAACAGGGGCGGATTCAGGGATGGGCAGGTCAGTGCTACAGCCCGTTCATCCGCCCCAAATCCCCTTTTAAAAAAAAAAAAAAAAAAATTAGTAAATTTTTTTTTTATGTGTAATTTTTTTTTTGCTGTATTAGCCCGTATTCGTGCCGGAACCTGGATCCGCCTCTGTCTAGTAGGGAAATGAAATGAAGGTGTAACGACAATAAAATCTAGTCCCTTGCAAGGAAATGAAACAAACAGAGAGAGAAACTAAGGTTCCTCAAAACAAAGTGTAAAGGGACGCTCCATAATAGCATTAGCAGGCAATTGAACAAAGATTCATAAGTAAGTTAAATAACTTTCCTAGCAAACCTATGAGCCGGAATCTTTAACTTATATCTTCTCTTTGAGCTTCTCAATCATATCGGCTGCTTTCTGAACAGTGGTGATAGTTTGAGCACTTTCTTCTTCCACAGAGATCCCAAACTCTTCTTTGAGTCCCATGACAATCTCAACCTAAGTCGGAGGAATCCAGTAGCAACTCACATTGAGAAACAATCAAGACAATATAGTTGCAATGGTAAAAAGAAGCATAAATACGGGAAAATTTCACTGTTGACCCCAACTTTTAGGAAGGAGCCGGATGGTCTACAACCTTCAATTATAGTTACACAAATGGTCCTCAACGGCAAAACCGTCCAAATCTTCTTAAATTCATGCCTTGCTTCAAATTTCAAAGAGAAAGCAAAATCTAACTTCATAAAGTTGGAAATGCAAGTGCCACAAAACGAATCTAACGGAGATTTGAACGGTTTTTTTCATTGGGGATTGATTGTGTAACTATAATCAAAGGTTAGGGAACTCGCTAGTCTGGCAAGTGGTGCTATTTCCCCATAGATACACATTCATTTCTTCCCAAATATATTGGAGTAAATATAGACACGCCGGAACATATTTAATAGCAAAACTAATGCCATATCAAATGAATCAGCACAGAGTGATGCGAACTTGGACTCTCCAGTAATGGCTGAATCAGAAGGGAGAGCTAGTTGTTTCCTCACAATTTCAATAACTTTATCCACTGTCTCAGGTTTCGCCTGCTCCAAAGAATCATCGAGAATTGTTAGTTAACTAATTTCATCTCTGATGAGATCAATCATCAAACGTCACATCAATAGCATCTTAAAAGATATTATGGATGGTAAATATTGCAAAAAAATATAGTCAATTCACTTTCTGGTATCTCTTCTATGAAAAGAGTTGTAAAAGTCTGTAATAGTTGTTGGAAATATGGAAGTGGTGAAGAATAGACAGTAAAAATATGGCAACAAGATGAAATGAAATCAGAAAATTGTCAAAAACAATTTCGAAGGCCCGAACGCGGGATCGCTGTTCTCAAACATTATTTGCCTCTTCTCCTATGTTTTCGAGATGCATAAAGGTATTCCGACAAATGATTTGAAGGAATATAACAAGCCTTGTTGTGGAAAATAACAAAGCACGAGAAATTTTCCACCAAAACTTTGAAGAACACGATAAGAAAATGAATATAAAATAAGAAAAAGAATTTGATCTTTTGATTGTTGAATTGGAATGAATTTCAAGTGTAATACTTATTTTGGCTTGAACACTGCTCCACTATATATAGACCTCATCTATATACACAAAATGGTGTCAAAAATGCATGAAAGGCCACCAAATTCGAGTTTCCAACGTTCAAAAACTGCCACCAACGGTCACCTAGTTTATACCATGCGACCGGTCGCATGGTTCAGCCGCACGGGCCTCCAAGTTTCGGTAAGTATCCTTGACCTCAGACCTCACCCGAGACAAGTTGACATAGACTCTAGAGAACTCAAGTGGTCTCGATTGAGGGATTTCTAGAAAGATGCATCGGCTCCTCCAGCTCCTCCCAACCCAGAAAGAACTGGCCGAGCAACTAGCTACTACAGGATTGGATGTCTATCCAGGGACGGATCTAGGATTGGATTCAAAATCGGACTACAAAAATTCAAATTGGGCTAATACATGAAAAAAAAAATTTACACAAAAAAAAAACTATTTTTACAGGAAAAAAATGAAAAATTCCTCAACAAATTTTTTTTTTTGGGCCTTGGGGGGGGGGGTCCCCCCCCATCCATCCCTGCGTCTATCTATCTCACCACGCTCCTTTACCCCCATCTTCTGAACCTACTAAGCAATCTATTTCATGTTTCACTGCCTTTCCTTAGCGAGAGTTGAATAGCTTAAAATTTAGGGAAGCCTTTTTTTTAAAAGAGTTTCTGCGACCGGTGAGAAACTGGACTATTAGACTATCTCCGAGAAAATAGGGATCACAACCGGAAGAATAACAGGAGTTCGACTTGTTTTTATAACTAACATTTTACTATTTAGAAATGTCCCAAGCTCGTTAAAAAAGAAAAACAATCATTCACTGCACCCTAGTAAACCTACAGCTACCTTATCATGCCATGGTTTAAGTTAGAAATTATGGCAGCCCTTTTTTGTTTATTCCACAAATGGTTGATTTTGAACAACCACTTCAACAATAGTAAGCCAGAAAGTTAATTAGTGAATTGCAGATCTTTGATCAATGGACAGAGAAAAAGGGATTCCCGGTGCAACAATTCAACAGATGGCCAAAACAACAGGTACAAGAATGCCAATCTCCAAAGTCATGTAAGATTAGCATATATGATATGAGGTATTGCAGCATAATGAAGGAATTTTGATTCTGTATTTACAGATGCCGATTCCGAGGGTTATATTAAGCTCATTAAACTCTCTAATGTGGTGGAAATATTCTAAACATATAGCTGTGATTGAATTCAAATTGGAAAGCAATCGACATGTGTGCATGGTGAAAAGGACCTTTAATTTAATCAACTTCTCGAAGAATTATGAGGGAGTCCCAGGTATTATAATGTGTTATTTTTGTATTCTGGTTCATTTTTGAACAACACTATGCACTGCTTGAACTAACCGCACGACTCCATCTCATGCACAAATTACAAACTCAACACATTCATAACGATAATACTTAATTGAAATACAACATGAAATTTTATCGATAACAATGTCGTTATAATTTACATGCATTCAATTATCCCAACTAGATTGATCAATACTAAGTGCCAATTATTTACATTAGTATAATTTAAGTATATTTCAACTCCTTTAATATCTACTCCTAACTTTCAATAAGTTGAATAATTTGCAATTATATAGTTAAAAATAACATGATATTGGCATTCTGCATGTTTAAGTCTCTGATTTTTACTTTTATTTGTCCACAACTATTGTTACCACCATTTATTGATTAAATATTTCTCGCTTGATCCATTTAATGCATATTTGATATAGTTTAAAATCGTCTTTTTCTGAGACTTTGATAAAAATTAATACAATATATACCTCTCATGAAATGTGTGATTAAAACTAATTATTAACTTTGATTCAAATTTTTATCGACTTTTTACGCAAAATCAAACAAAGGCTAGTATTATCACAGGTAAAAGAAAAATTATCTTGTATCTGCAAAACACAAATCACAAAGTATTATATTTACTACTACAAATTATTAACATTGCCATCTCATTTAAAACAAATTAGTTATCATCCAAATAACTGTACAAAATAACTACTGACCTATAAAGTTACAATACATCAGAAGGTAGAGAGGTACACCAGAGTACGAAACCAGGAACTATAAAACTCCTCTCCATCATATCTGATCCAGATTCTCAAGGTTGATGGAAGCAACACTATGAGCACTTACCCAGAAGCCACAATCGTGCTCGTACTCAATTTGGCAATCAATGTCGAGAAAGTGGCTTTGATATGCTGGTGCAATGAACTCGAATCCTACACGGTGCACATTTTGGATCAGTTATGTGATGAATACAATCAGTTATTGAACAGACACCTCCGTAGAGTCGTCCCAAGCTCAACAACTCTCTGAGGGTGGAGGATGACTGCACATATACCAGAACAAACACTGATAGCAACAATTGCAAAGATAACAGGTCGAGAAATCAAAAATGTTTTCGTAAATAAGCGACTGCATGGCTTTCCTGGCCTTCCCTTTGAATTTAGGCTTGTGACCACTTCTTGACTCAAAAGAGGAATTGTTGCACTTTCATCAAGAGGAGATGAAAATATTCTGGCCTCAAAATTATCCTTCGCCGTCTTTTCCGAACCCTGCAAAGTTCAGAAATAATATCATTTGTCATAAGATTAATTACAAATGAGTAGTCAAAGTTAATCATGAATTTGCTTGCCAATGTGCAATTTTTGCTAAGAACACAGGTAGAGTTACTAATAGGATTGAACTTCAATACATACGAGTGTTATGAAGAAGAATGTTTACCGTAATAAAAAATGTCGAATGAGCATGTGTAAATAAATGTGATCACGTAGCATGAAATAAAAAGTACGAAAAGATTTGGGGCTACTTTTATTTTCTTTTGAGAAAATGCAGAGGAAGAGAATAAAACACACACATAAGTGCATACCAGTGTATGTCAAGCTCAGTGTTGAAAAAACTATGTAACTGATTAGTATAATATGAGTAAAAGAAGTAAATTCGAATGATTGCCCAACAAAATAATATTTTGAAAATAAGTTTTCAACAAACTTGCGTAGAAAGGAAATGTAGCGTATGGTAAGAAGATAAACGAAAATAAAGTACATTGATGTTCATGCAAAAGGTTGCCTACAAAAAAAATTTGAACAGCAATTTAACAAGTTGTTCTTGCTGGTATAAAATCAGGGGTCTGTAGTTAGAATAAATATCTGGATTACCAAAGTATCACATTTGAATCCTGGGATATCACATTTCAGACATATCCGACCAATTTAGACTTCACTAAGATTTCACCTTTCCCCAGTAATGAACTTCAACACAAACTCAAATGTGATTTGAAGCAAAAGTTCAAACTTTATCCATCCGTTGTATCAGTCAATAAAATAAGAAATAAAAAATTGCACTACTGGTCAACCTATTGTCCGAGTAGCTAATTGGTCGGCAACCTTTTAAAAGCCCCAAATCCCCATCTTCTACCTTTCATTGTAGTTGCACAGTCAGTCTTCGACGATGGAAAGTGTCCAAATCTCCATTAAATCGTCACATAACCCTCACATGTCCAGCTTTATGAAGCTAGTTTTATTTCCCAAGTAGGGCCATAGTCTGGAAATTTGAAGAGAGGCGTGTTTTCACAAGGGCCACGTGACAATTTAATGGAGATTTGTATGCGTTGTCTTTGAGGACTTACTGTGCAGCTATAATTTAAGTTTGAGGACTAACTTGCTCCCTTTAAAGGTTGGAGACCAACTTGCTACTGGGGAAATGGAGGACCAATGCTGAAATTTTCCCACTAAATAATTTGATGCACAACATATGAAGTCCTCACCTGATTGGAAAATTGAACATCAATTCGAAGATCATTTTGGGAAGTTTGACTTAAATCATTTCCATCTGTCACACGCGTCAGCGTCACTGTGTAGTCTTTTTCCTGTAATTTCTGACAAAGTATAGTTCTTGCATTATTCAAAATCTTCCAAAGTAGAATCATATCAGCATCAGGAACACCCGTAACCAAATACTTATCCATTACAGTTTTCATGTGGGACAATACTCTGTATAAAATGACTGTCGACCCTCTTTCAATCAAAAAGTTCAATAAGTAGTTGATTCTTTGTATCTGAGCAACCGTCAAATGAAGCTCTAACACGGGGTCCTTGAGCAACCATGCAACTTCCAACAAAAACTCGTAATATTCTGTCTTTCTTAAGGCATAAACTTCACATGCCAATGTTGGATCTGCAAACTGGTGCCCATCAGAGCAAAGAGAAGTATCAAACTTTTGTTGCATTATCGCCATTTCTTCACAAATTGGTTTGTCCCCAATAAGAATTGGAATGAAGTTGGATAAGCCAGACTGATTCTCAACCTGCAAAAGATATCCTCAATATGTGAAACAAAGTCTGACCATAATGAGTATCGTATCAGCACGATTCTTGCAACAACTCTTATATCAATTTTATGTACGAGAATTCCTAGTTTTTCTATGAGCGAAAAACATCTTCCCCATTAGTTCCCTCTATTAAGATATTCTCGATATCACAAAGGCTTTTTTGGTTATAAAAATAGGAAAGGAAACAAAGCCTGGCCATAACGAGTATCGTATTAGCACGATTCTTGCAACAGCTCTTATATCAATTTTATGTACTAGAATTCCTAGTTTTTCCATGAGTGAAAATTATCTTCCCCGTTAGTTCCCTCTATTAAGATATTCTTGATATCAACAAAGGCTTTTTTTGGTTATAAAACTAGGAAAGCACCAGAAAAGTTGAGCTCCATATTTGGTTGTCCACAGATGTAATACAGCTTTTTGTTTTAAGTACCAAGATGCAAAATATCTTAAAACTTCAGACTCACAGGGGAGAGAAGATGTGATTAAAAATCAATTGAACACAGGGTCCTGGTTTCAGATCAGTGTATGCATATAAATGTCAAAATTACCAAAGCAAAGAAGTCGCATTTTTGAACAAATACTTATCCTAGTACTTAATTGAACCAATACCAATACCAATACCAAAACCACTTCATTGTACAAGTCTACAAGAAAATAAGAAGCGGGTAGAAGATGGTTCTCACCTCAATAAATGCTGGGCCAAAAATATCAGGGTCAGTATGAGGGACATGTATCTTTAATAATTGATGGTCTAAACTGTTGCTGTTCCCTTCATTCTCGCAAGAAATCGATGAAACGCTAATATCATATGCCAGGTACCGGCCAGCAAAGGATACAAGAAACCTGACATGGGATGAAAAATTTACATAATACATTCCAGAAAGAAGATTGAGCTAAATGCTTATTCTAAGAAATGATAGTAGAACGATTAGGATTAAGAAAACTGTACGCAGTTAAATTTGTTTTCGAACAAAGTACAAAACTCAATAAACAATAACTGCTGTCAATCAACCACTTAAACTATGAAACAAACAATCATTTTCCTTGTCAAAATCTAGTCATAGTTATGCATAGAAAATTTGAAATATATTCATTTCTGATTGTTTTCACCATTAGCTTTCCCAATCAAGAGTTGAAGCATGGATATCTCAAAATATAGCACAAGACTGAGAGGCCTAACCATGACAACTTGAAAAATCTTACACCCCTTTTGGTACTTTGGTCCATCTACACCATCTTTTCCATGGTTTCTTATCATTTCTCAAGACTCAGCCAAATACAGTATCCAAATACAGTATATCTAGGTCATCTTGTCATTTCAGCTATTACAACATCTGATGCATATAATGCACGCCTTGCTATTGCAAAGAACCAAATATCACATTATCTCCACATATCAGTCCACTATTTTCTTTGTTTTCTAGTTTTGGTTATAATGCAACAAGTAGCATGTGTATCCTTTTCCTCTCCAACAAAATTATTCTAAAACTGCCTCATCAACCACATAAAACAACCTCCCACTTTACCAATTCACCGTACCCATTACCACCACTTCCCCCACTCCCCTTTCCCTTTTACTCTCTCTCCCTCTCCTCTCCCTTCCACTTCAAGGTCCACAATTTAAATCCAAACAGTACTAGTATTTAATTGTGTAGAAAAAGAGAATTAACAATGAGAAGTAAAGAACTTGATGTCAAAAATATTCTGACCACAAAGAATTAAGAAAGAAAAAATCAGGTAGTGACAACTTTCAGAAAGCAACTTTGTCAGTTGAATTGGTAGAGGCCTTACTATCATACCGAAATTTTGGTTGAAGTAGATTACTTCCACAGGCAATGAATTCTAAAGGCTTGCCAGCCTCAAAGCATGTTGGATGAATATAATGAATCTTTGGAGCTTGTCCCTTGACCTTGACTTTCACTACAGAAGCACCATCTGTTGTCACATAGAATCTAGCACTGTTAAAAAGCTGTCATAAGTCCCTATTAACAACAAAGAGAGAATTTTTAATAGAAATCAACTATGAACTTTTTCCTTGCTACCTACCTACCACCATAGCTATAAAAATGGAAAAATAGAATGTACTTTCTTCATCTCCAGAATACGGTTCAAATTATTATTTTTCTTTTATGAGAGGAACTTACATCAGTTTCTCCTAATTCATTTTAGAAAATATTAAACCAATTATTAACTTTTGCATGAGATGATTGCGGGTTGTGAAGTCTTTATGGCAGCAATAGTGAGTGAAGAAAGTATTAAATCTTCTACAATTGATTTTTGTGTTATTCCATAAGCAATCCAAGGCTACAAGCATTGAAGTGTGACTATGACCATCAAAATACAAACTGAAGAATCTACCGCTAGTTCACTAAAATAAGCTTACATTCTGAACACGAAAAGAAACAGATCAGCGGAACATTAAAGTAACATAAAGTAGAACTAATAAGAAAATACCCTTAGAAGACGAAGGAAAAGAAAAAGTCCGTGATGGAAAATTGAAACTCTGACAACATAGACATGCATATCTACAATGCTATTTAAGTGAGATTGCCAGCAAACCTTTTGAGACACGAAATATCATGTCATTAAGATACACAAGCATCGTGCCTCTTCCAGATAACATGTTTCCAGGTGAGACAACAAGGTCTTGTATACGTACAGCAGACTCCTCCAATAACTGTGTAATGAGACGATATTGTATAATGAGAACATAGAGAATTTATTAGAAATTTTGCTGGAGATTGCAGCAAAAATGTTAAATCTGCCTCAGACACAAAGTATGTCACGTGCAAAAGCAAAATATATATTATAGTAATTGTAATGGATTGATTCAATTAAATTTTCAAGTTATACCTTCAGCTCTAATGAGCCTACCATTAAATATGTAAAATAGCCATTTAGTTATTAATTGTTATTAATGATCAGCAAATTCTTGGCACAATTTTGTAGATTTACAATACAATAAATTATGGAGTTCAAGTGTTCAATAAATATTGGGTGACAAGGAAGACTATATACCTTAACCCACATAAACTTTGGCATTGCAACAAAAGCAGTCAAAATTGTACAACCCGGACGGATATACCCTTCCAATTCAACGGGCATGCTAGTCAACCATTCAAATATCTGTAAAAACATTCACCCTTGTGTTAATCAAATACCACTATCTTTTACACAAATAACACATTTTCTTCCTTGTATACTAAACTGTATAAAAAAAGTTTGAATACTTGATGCCGAAGTCGCCGAGGAAACTCTGCAGGGTTCCAATCGTAGAGCTTGAAGGAGATTCGACCAGTAGGACACTGCAACAAAGCATCAAAACAGAGCAAATTTTTTAAGTAAGATTCCCAATGAAATAGAATCACATCATGTGAGGCAGCAAATTGGCATTAAACCTACCAAAGAAGAGAAAACACTCTTGTTATCACGACAGGATGTGGAGTTCGTGTATTTTGGGTTCTCCTTATCCTCATCATGGTGAGTTTCAACAAAGTCCGCAGATAATACACTTTTACTTGGGATATTTTGGGAACCAAGAGCCGAGCTTAGTGTTGATGCATGCCCTTCCGACTCTATAACAATTTCCCTTTCTGGCATTTGACTGCTCAAGTGTATCATATCTGTGACATCCAGATATTTACAAGGGTGGTCAGCACTTCAATATTGTAAAATACTGTGAATGCGCAGGAAAAAAAAGGCAATTTGACAAGTAGCAAGAAATTCCTGGTTGATAGGAGCTTTAACAAGAGGTATTCCCAATGGATTCCTCAAGTATCACGCATATACAAAATATTCCACTATTGCTGACATATAAACGCAAAGGTAATACAAGAGAGGAAGCCAGACACAATTTTCAGAGATGAGAACATAATCACAACGTTGATACAAGCCAACAGTACCTTTCAGAGTGTCATCATCGCCTCCAACATTATCAGCTAAGGTGACCTGTTGAGGTTCCATCTCAAAACTGCCTTTGGCATCATTGGGTTTTCTTCGGCGTCTGTTATTGTGACGTTCTAATTTTCTCCGACAACTCCGTTTTCCCTCATCAAAATCTGACAAAATATGAAACCTGCCAGAGGTAATAGAAACAAAAGCAGATTGGATCTAATCAGGAGATTTTGTTGAAGAAATGCACCCACAGTTCACTTCAAATGTGGAGATAAATAGCCCCAGGGCAACTTATCCACAGGGAAAATTTAAAAATACACAATCTTCTTTCCTTAATTCAGTGGATGAGGCCCATTTAAAACTGGGCTTTATTGTCCTCAAAATTTCTTTTTGATTAATACTAGGAGGAACCATCATCCTAACAAATTTTAAGATTTCAAGTATATTCCCAAATACCTGACGTAAGCTCAACCAAAGTCTTGATGTTTTCACAATTATTCTTTCCAATCTTTGGTGGGCTACATTTCGCATCCATATCAATTTATAACTTATAAAAGTGGCAGTTACAAACATCAGTGTTGTGGTCCCTGAGAATTTACACAGAAACATTTTCTACAAATTTCCTCATCGAGAACACTACCCCCCAAAAATAATGCACAATAATATCAGCAACACCATACAATCTCAACCCACCAAAATCATATCCTTAGTTGCTTCCGTACTAGCATGCACATGGACTCATATAAACCAGCCGGCTAGAGACGGTGTACAAAACTTATTTCACATTAATATTACAGTTGTAAACACAAGATTATCAAAACCTATGACCATGCTATGCCACAAACTCATATGCTTAATTATCTATACTCCCACATGGCCACACAAGCTTTTTTCTTAATTCAATTAATCATAACAAGTTCGTGAACTTCCCCTCATTTAAAAAACTTGTTCACTACTAATTCCATGCAGTAAATGATCAAGCAAGTAGATAAAAATAGCTGAACAAGAATCCTAATTCCCAGAGAAAAGAAATACATGGATGCCTAGTATTTATATGATGCAATCCCATCAAGTCTCGGAATTGTATCTTTGAGAGTCAAAAATTGATTAAAATGAGCTATCCATAAAATGCCCATCATAGATAAAAAGCTAAATTATTTATCAATTTAATAGTCAAAAGACTCAAAACACGACATGTGCAGCAACCATTGATCTTAAATGAGCTTACTTTCCACACTGCTGGCAATATCTCTTGCTCTCCCCGTCAAGAACCACCGAGCTGGCGTTTGCACATCGCAAGCAAATTCTGTGCCTCTTATGATACCCTTTGAGCTCACTAATATCTGCTTCGCACTCCGGCACCTGACAACGAGCCGGCGCGGCTCCACCTGAAACTCTCACAGACCGGACCCTCTTCTTCCCCGGGAGAACACCGCCAGTCTCCTCCGCCTCCAGCTTCTCGTCTAGCTCCGGGCACTCGCAGGGGATTCGACCCGCCAAAAAGTTTGGACAAACCAACCTCGGGTCCCTCTTCCTGACCCGACCAAAAATATCAGTCTCTTGACTTTGACCCCGTTCAACTCCAGCTTCAAGTTCCGAATCTGGGAGCGGGATATTTTGTTGTGGGTCGGTGGGCTCAAAGGACAGATTTATACTATCATCAAGCTCGAAATCGAGAAAATCGGACCAGTCGAAAAGAGAAGAGGAGGGGAGTTCATCAGGGAAGTCACAGGCAATTGTGGAAGGCATATCGGGGTCCGTCACCAGATCAGCTGCAGTTGAAGGGGGTGGGTTGTCACGCATTTCTTTGGGCTTGAAGATTGAGGGCTATGGCGGCTAGAGTTGGTCAAGATGGTGGTGGTGGGCGCGGTGGTTGTAGTGGTATTAGGTGGTTAAAGGACAACGAGATATCTATTTCTTGTTCCACCAAAGTGGTTGATGGAACATCGCGTTCTGCTAAATTTATCTTTATTTTTCACTTTTTCTCAAATCCAAATCTTTACAGAAGGTAAAACTGGTGAAATATGTCAAATTTTACGAAGGGGTGATCTTTTTACGCTAGTATAAAATAAGTTCATTGGCTTTTCACCAGCGCTAGTCAAAATTTTAAAACACGAGGAAATTTACTTGCTAACATCAATTAGGCATTCTCATTGTCTTATCAATTCAACTCTTCTCCTCACTTTCTATCAAAATTTAATTCTTACGAGTAAGTTTCTTCCTCTTTCAGATATCTGAATACAGAAAAACGTTAGCAAGAATGGAAAAAGAAGATGGAGGAGGGGAGCAAGGGAAAGAGAACTCATTAGCGGCTCAAATCATCTCTATTCTCTCTACACAATATCACTTGCATACACAAATTGCATATGCTTAGTTCAAATAATAAGATTGAAACTTTATCAGGTTTCGGCCTAAGTTTGAACTTTTGAATGTGGACACTTTGAAAAGTGACTCTCTCTCTCTCTCTCCCTGTTGTTCATTTTCTAATAGGGTCTTTTTAGAACAATTTCCTCATTTTTTTCCTAATTATAAAATTTAATCTTTAGGTCAGTTTTCCACTATTGTTTATAAAATTTGTCATGTAATTAAATTTTTTTTTTTTTAAATTCCTGACCACAGTGACATAGTCTCCATTTAGAAATTTAAAAAATTGAAACTTGATTACGGTCGATATATTCACTTTTCATGAAAATTGTTTAATCTCAATACGAAGTCTCTGCTTTCAAATGTTGGTTGGCAGTTGTACCAAACTGTAATTGAATCACACTTATGAAGCAGTTAATTGCATGGAGTTTTGTTAACGAAAATAGTACGATGTTTAAACTACTGAGGTGTTACAGGTACCGAGGAAAATGAACCTCTATTATAGGCTCGAATGGATGACTTAACTGACGAAAACCTGAAAGATACATGCATAGTCGAGATGCGACATGGTTTGCATCACAATATCTAACGAAACAATATAAGAGATCGTTGGGTTGATTTGTCGGATTATGGAAATTTTTGGAAAGTCACAAACCACCCGCTTCATTGACTTTTTTTTAACCGCTTTAAGTTGTTCCCTCATTAGGAGGGTCCGATATTGCATTTGTTCCAAATTCTGACAAGTTTTGAGTGCGAACAGCGGTTTTTATTCTATTCGAGTGCTAATTGAGATGAATCAACTTGTAAGGAATGCATATCCGGTATCTGGAGATGTGAGGGACACCGAAAGAGCTTGGACTGCATAATGTTAGTCTTTATGATAATGCTAGAAACCCCAGGTTCTTCATTTGGTTGAATTATTTTTGTGCACAAATGGTTTTAATTTGTCTTCATCAATGTTGGTGGCAGAGTTCCAAGATGACCAGGGCAGACTTTCATGCACCAACTTTTGGAGTATAACTTGAGGGTTCTGAAAATCATTTGTCATTGCTGCACAATTGGTTTGATCTTTGTATTCAAGGAGTGATTGTCCAAAAAAGTCATAGCAGTTAACGATGAACATTGTGCTATAACAAGTCTGGATTCGTAAGATTTCTTCTCTGCACGTTAATGTTATGAAACAGCGTATGCAACTAATTTTTATCTCACACCAACCTTTGACCTTGGCTTGGATTAGACATAAGTTAAGCTTTCAACCACAGCAGAGTGACAAGACTCTATCAAGAAAAAATTTCTGTATTGGGGAGAACAAATTAATGTTATGTGAAGTAAACAAGGGATTTTTTGCACTAAGAAATCAGGGATAGTCTTGGAAAATGGGCTATGGTCTTGGAATCTATAGCTTATGTCTCGTTTTCGCTCCCCATCTCTCAATTTTGTTTACATGGCGCAGGTAAGAATATACCTTTGCCTCAATTCTGAGGAGAGTCGAGCTAGTTAGAGAATGGAGAGTAGCTTATATTCCTTAGCTAAATTGTCATCCCTCAACCCCCATACTGTCTGTTGACACATAAAAATTCAGCCCAAATCGAACGGCCCAAGAAATGAAGTCCAATTGGAGGATCCCCAAATCACATAGCCCAAAGAACAAAACCCAATCAAACAATTCAAGATGAAGGCCCAAGTAGGGAGGCCCAAGAACGCGGTAACACCATGGCCCAAGTTTGCAAGTCGCCCAGAATCTGAGCGAATGGAGTGCCATGCAGTCGCCCAGAGTTGTTATTCTACTCTCACCCAAACCTTTGAGTCGCCGAAGGTCTTAACAAATATAAAGTGTTGTGGTTATCAAGAAGTGCAGTTATCAAAGCATTAATTAAAGCAGCCCTATCACGTTCCACGATTCAAGGAATTCAATCGAAAACGGTTGAACGACGAAGAGTAATGGCAGCAGTTAAAAAAGGCAGTTCCATGACAAGTTGGCCATTACGAGGAAAGTGGGCAGTTGTAGAACGATCAAACAGTTTTTAGGCGATTGATCACAAAGAGATCATCCAGGGAGTATAAAAGGAAGAAAAAGACATAGAGGAAAAGGACCGAATCAAAAACTCTCGAACAAAGAACATGTAATTTTAAATTCCTTAGCTTAGATTTAAACACTTCTTTTAGTAACCCGTGTGCTTGCGCCCCTTGGAGACATTCTGTTTTTAATTTCCAATTGTAAAGTCATTGCCAATAAAGAACGCCCCTTTTTGGGACTTTGTCTCAAGAGATTTGTCCCTTACACAATCGTCTGATCCCTTTTAATTGTTAGCGACTAACCCGTGCGAAACAATTTGGCACGCCCAATGGGACAGTGGTGTTTGGTATTGAAAATACAAAAAGGTGAAACAATATGCCTCAGAGATCCGATAAGGAAGCAACAAGTCAGGGAGGAGTCCAGTCTGTGACCGAGCGATATGAGGAGCAGCATGCTTCTCCACGAACAGATGGACAGAATCAGAGCAGGAACAGTCGTTACGAACTAATGATAGAGTTGAGTCCTCGAACCATTCGTGTACTACTTGGAGAACTCACACAAGATGTCGTTGAATAGGTAAATCTTCGAAGTATTCATAATATGGAAAGATTTACCCAAAATGGGAATGCACATTATGACAACATGGCCAAACAACTAAACACTTTGAATGAAACAATGAATAAGTTAGTAGGCCAAATATGTCAACCGATTATGCCTCTTGCAAACCACTTTCAAACTAGGACAATTGTGGGACATAATCCCTCAGTCCTAAATCCGAATTAAGGGGTAGAACCACTTTCTGGTCTCCCTACCTCAAACCAAGGGGGTGGTGCAGTGCCAAATCAGAACAATGGTAGTGGTACGCCTAACTTGGGGGATAATCCAAATGTAAGAGATAATGTCCTAAACAATGGACAGAATACCCCACGTGTTAATGAGGGAATAGATGTTCAGGCTAATGGTAATGGCCCGAATCATGGTAACTTTGTTGCCAATCAAGGACCAAATATCAGGCCTCATGCAAATCAACTGGTTAACCAACCTGTAGGAATTCCATATGACCCCAACGTTATGTTGAGGAATCAGATTATGGAAATCGTACAGGATCAGATGACTTTTGGGGTGCGTCTCGTCATTAGGCCGACTTACACAAAGTCATATCCTGATTGGGTAAACCAAGCATATTCATGGCCTAGAGGGTATAAAGTGCCAGAATTCTCACTGTTTACCGATTTAGCAGAGGTGTCTACTCTAGAACACATAGGGCGATTCACATTGCAAAGTGGTGATGTAACCGATTACCATAAAATGAGGTTTTTCCCTAGTTCATTAACAGGAGTAGCTTTCTCCTGGTTCATCAACTTGCCAGTGAACTCTGTTCAAACATGGCAACAATTGGAACAGTTATTCCACGCTCAGTTTTATAAAACTGAGTCTGAAGTCACTTTGGCTAATTTGACGAATCTACGTCAAATGCCAAACGAATGGGCAGAAAGTTTTCTCCAAAGGTTCAAGACAGCAAGGAGCAAGTGTTTTGTACCTCTACCCGAAAAAGAATTTGTCAAAATCGCTCAGGGCTGTTTGAGCTTTGATTTAAAAAAAAATTCCAGGACAAGGAATTTCCTGACCTTTTCCAGTTGAGTGCGAATGTGATTAGGTATGAACGACTGATAAGAGAGGAAGAACAGATGAAAAATTCTAGTAAAGGGACTTGTTATAAAGACCCAAATTATGACGTTCATGCCATCAGCGACGAGTCATACGATTAGGCCGAAATGTGTTTGGCCGAATTGGTCAAAGGAGATAAGTATACTTGTCCTATAATGGCCAAACCTAGACCATCGAGCAAAGATGAGCCCATAAAAGATGGAAACATAAAGGCTAGAACGTTCTCATTCGATGTAACCAAAGCTGACCTTATATTTGATAAATTATATAGGGATAAGCAGATAAAGTTGAGTGATAAGCATAAATTGTCAAACCCTGAACAAATTAAGGGTGAAAAATATTGTAAGTGGCATAATGCATGGTCACATTTGACTAACAATTGCTTGGTTTTTCGCCATGTATTGCAGGATGCCATTAAGTCAGGACGAATTACGTTCGATGACAAGAAGAAGATGACAGTGGATGAAAATCCTTTTCCACAGCCACTTGGAGTGAACATGGTGACGTTTGGTTTCAAAAACAAGTTGCCAAAATTCAAGTTGGTCATAGATGATGGAGAAGAGGACCCTAGACCACATCCCAGTTTCTTTGAACGAATCAAGGGGAAAGAACCAAAAAAGGACGAAGACGTCCTGTGTGCAAGATGTAAAAGAGAAGTGAGTGGGAACATGGAGAAACCAGGGATATGGCAACATCCCCATCGCCCTACTTTCTTCCCAAACACTCAGCCTGGTAAAGGGCGAGGTACATCATTCTATAGAGGACCGCCTTTTGAGAGGCAGTTCAGGCCAGCAGATAATGGGAGAACATTCAGGCCGCAACCTCACCGGCCAAATGTATGGCATTCGTTCCAGTATAATGCAGGAAGAGCAGTACCCTTCGATGAGATGACTAG